CCTCACAGGCCCCAGGACCTGCAGACCCCCTTCCAGTCCTCCAGCCCCCAGAACTGTCGGGACCCCATCAGCCCTGCAGCCCCCACATCCTTCAGGAGCTCCATCCCATGGAGAGCCCTCAGAACCCCATCAGCCCTGCAGCCCCCAGGTTCTTCAGGAGCTCCATCAGGCCTTCAACCCCCCAGGACCCATGGGATCCCCCCAGAACCCTCCAGGCCCCTGAACCCTCAGGACTCCCACCACTCCTGCAGCCCCCAGGTCCTTCAGGACCTCCATCAGTCCTTCAATCCCCCAGGATCCATGGAACCCCCCCAGCCCCCAGAACCCTCCAGATCCCCATCAATCCTCCAGTCCCTGAACCCTCAGGACTCCCACCACTCCTGCAGCCCCTGGAACACCACATCCTTCATGACAGGGTCTCCCCCCCTTTTCTGCCTTCCCCCCCCCTGCACTCATCAAGCTCTTGACGAGGGTTTTTATCCTGTCCCCACACATCACCCGCGTTACCTCGGGGAGCTGCCAACTCCCCGTCACGTCACCATCAGCACCAGCTCCCAGGTGGGCCCTGGAGCAGCTCCCGCACGTTGGCGGGGCACGTGCGTGTGCACGGTGGTGGCACTTTTGGTGGCCTGGCCGTGTCCCAGCACCGAGGGCTCCCCCGCTCTGTCACGTCCCAGCACCAGGGACCTTCCCCCTCGCCGTAAACAAGCCCGGGGCAGCGCGGCTCTTCACAGCTGCGTCGCACTTGGCATCTCACAAGTAGGTGTTATTAATTAATTAGGCCGTCTCTGGCCAGGCTCCGGTTTAATTAACGTTGCCGGCGCTGCAGATGCTGCCCTGCCCCGGGCTGTGTTGCCACGTGAGTTGTTTTCCCGAGGGGCTGCCGCAGCCACCGGAGCAGTCACCGCTGCTTGTTGCTCGGGATGGAGTCGTTGGATGTCATTTTTGGCCCAGTCCTTCCCTCTTTCCTGCTTTTCCCCAAATTTTCCTCCCCATCTTCCACCTTGGACACTCTGTGTCCACCTTGGCACATCGTGGCATGAGAGAGGGCAGGCTGGGCGTGCTGCAATGGGGCAGGGTGTGAGTGTGCGGGCACACCTGTGCTCGTGTGTGCAGATGAACACGTGTGTGGGAGCCTGACCAATCCCCTTTCACCCCCGAGACCCCCAAATCCTGTCTGCACCACCCAGAATCTGACCGGGACCACTCCTCCATGCGTGTCCCCACACGTGCCAACAGACACACGGTGACATCCCCACAATGAGGGGCTGNCTGGGGAGGGGGGTCCTGGGGGCTCAGGGGGTCCCCAGCAGGGCTGACCCCCCGTTTGCCCCACAGGTCTCCACAGTGGGAGCCAAAGGTGACTTCCTGCTGGTCAGTGACCACCTCATCGAGCTGGTGACCCGCCTGTACCAGACCTTCGAGGCCACCACGGGGCAGGCGCTGCCCCTGCACATCACTGACAGGTGTGGGCGGGGCTTTGGTGGGCGTGGTTAGAGTGGGTGTGGTCACAATGGGTGGAGTCTAAAGGGCAGGACTGCAATGGGTGGGACAGGGCTGGGGCACCGAGGGCGTGGCTTCAGTGGGTGTGGTTGATGTGGGTGTGGGCACTGGAGGGTGGGGCTGCAGTGGGTGGGGTTATTGTGGGTGGGACAGGGCGGTGCCCAGGGTGGGATTGAGGTGGGTGGAGCTTCCAAGCGTGGGGCACCATGTGAGTGACGTGATTGGTTGCAGCAGGAAGTGGGTGTAACCAAGGCAGCTCATTGGGCAATGAGGGGATGGGTGTGGGCGTGTCCCCCTCCCACCTCTCCATCCTGATTCCTCCCCTCCATCCTCCCCTTCCCAGGTTCTCCACACGCTTCCCGAAGGGCGACGTGTCCATCACCGTGGTGGAGTCCCCCAAGGCCAGCACCAACGGCCCTGTCTGCAAGAAAAAGGGCAGCAACAAGATGGAGGTCCTGGTGTACTGAGGGGACCCTCACAGGACGCCCACCCTCACACTGACACCCTGACACCCCCCTTGTGTCATCCCCCACCCCTGTGAGTGCTGGCAGCACCCGGGCATTGCTCCAACCCCATTAAAAGGATGCTGAGGTGTCGGTGCCAGGGTGGTGTCCCCTCATTTTGGGGTGGGACCTCAGGGGACAATGCCCAAGCTGTGGGGGGCACAGCCCAGCCTGGTGATGCAGCCCCTCATCCTGGCCTCCCGCTTTCCTGACTTTTCCTGATTCCTGATTGCAGCCAGCGCTCAGCTTGTGGTGATTGGAGAGGCTCCAGATTGTGGCCACTTTTCCCATCAAGTGGCTCACAGGCTCGAGCTGCCTCAGAGGCAATTTCTTGGCGGCCGTGGGTGGCTGCATGTGAGGTCCCTGTCATACTCCTGCCTGCTCTGGATGTCCCTGTGCCCCTGCCCAGGGTCCCCCCACCCTGCTGCAGGACACCCTGGCTGGGTGCTGGAGCTGCATTTAGGGACCAGGAACATGGAGAATGGGATAGAGGGAAGTAACGCACAGCCCCAGTGATGCTGCAGGACCCGCAGGACCTCCATCAGTTCTGCACCCCCCAGGACCCCCATCAGGATCCCCATCAGTCCTGCAGTGCCCAGGACTCTCTGGACCCCCACCAATCCTGCAGCTCTCAGGATCTGTGGGACCCTTCCAGTCCTCCAGCCCCCAGAACCCTCAGGACCCCATTAGCCCTGCAGCCCCCAGGTCCTTCAGAAGCTCCATCAGCACGACAACCCGCCAGGACCCATGGGACCCTCACAGGCCCCAGAACCGTCAGGACCCCATCAGCCCTGCAGCCCCCAGGTCCTTCAGAGGCTCCATCAGCACTACAACCCCCCAGGACCTGCAGACCCCCTGGTAGTCCCCCAGCCC